GGCAGCACGGTGCCAACGCTGTGCTCTCCCACAGGCCGGGCCAGCCTGCACGACAAAGCCTCCCTGCGCATTGAGCAGGTGCGCTCCGAGGACCAGGGCTGGTACGAGTGCAAAGTGCTCATGCTGGACCAGCAGTACGACACCTTCCACAACGGCAGCTGGGTCCACCTCACGGTCAATGGTGAGCGGGGCGGGGGCTGCGGTATCCATGTGGTCCCAAAATGGGATTTCTGGTGGATGCTGGGCCTCAGTGGCAACTGAGCCTGGCAGACACGAGAGCCTGAGGCCATCCAGGCTGGCTGCTCCAGCCAGGGCGTGACTTCAAAAGAGACCAAGTTTTATTAGGGATTCCTCAGTTTAATTACATGGAGCTCGTTTAAAGGAGAGACATCAAGAACCGKGCCTGGGAATGAATCTCCTCTCAACAAACAGATCAGAAAATCAAATCTTTGTTTTCTTGAAATTCAGATTTACTCAAATTACTTTTTCATTTTATTAAGGCTGTATATTAAACTAATTAGCAAATTGTCATTCTCCACATCAGGAGACAGATCTTTATTTTTAGCCCAGCAGCAGGGCTGTGCCTCTCCTGCTGCAGTGGGGTGGCTGGAGAGACATGGGCACTGGCAGCTCCTCGCTGGTCTTGCCTTGACCTTGAGCAATTAATTTAACCTTCAGTGGGCTGCCTGTGCTGTGGCACAGAGCAGAGCCACCTAATTGAGCCCAATTAGTGAGAGGGAGCTTTGCGAGCGGGGCTGTGCAGGCCACCAGCCCCATCCCTGCCTGCTACCCTGCCTGCCGCTTCCTGCTTTCCCCCTGCCCGCTAATGAGCTCCGAGGGCTCAAGAAGGAGGGCAGGAGGAGGAGGAGGAAGGAGGAGGATGGTGGTGCCTGGCTCACCTCTGCCACGTGCACGGATCCTGCGAACCGCCAGCCAGAGGGGCTGGAAATGGCCCCGGATGCCCTGTCCCTCCCCCTTGGCAAAATGGGGCAGTTTTGGGGTTTTATGCTGCACGGGGCRTGCAGGGGCTTAATAACACTATAATAACCATAATCCTCCCAGCCYGAGGAATTGCTTTCAGGGTGAGGGCTGTGGCTTTCCCCCAGCGCATTACAACGCTTAATTTTCTTAGGGGGAAAATAAAAATCATTTGGGGAGAAACAAAATATAATTCCTTTTCTTTTTTTTTTCATCCCCAAGCAGATTAAATTGCCAACCTGTCTTCCTCTAAAGTGGGCTTTAACAACCGCGGGTAATTAGGGGCGGGCTGTAATCCTGCCAGCCTCTTTCATCAGGAAGGAGCCTTTCGATCTGCACTGCGGTGTTTTCCCATGTTTTGACAATAGCGAGTTAATGTGCAGCGGGGGGGAGGACGTGGTGCTGCTGGGGAGGAGAGGGGGCCGGGCTGGGGTGCGGTGTGGCACCTCTGGGTCGGTGTCCCCAGGGACACCCCTGTCCCCGCAGCCCCGTTGGCCTTTGGGATGGTCCCATCCCCGCCATGGGTATGTGCAGAGTGCCTCCCTGTGTCCCTGTGTGTCCCCAGAGCCAGAGTGGCCGCGGGTGACCCGGGGGGGTCACGGTGGTCTCCTGTGCCCGCAGCTCCCCCCACGTTCACCGAGACCCCGCCGCAGTACGTAGAGGCCAAGGAGGGCAGCAGCATCACCCTGACCTGCATGGCGTTCGGGAACCCCAAGCCCATCGTCACCTGGCTCAGAGAGGGAGACCTTTTGGGTCCCAATGGCAAGTACCAGGTAGGTGGGGGAGGGCTGCTGTGGGGCCTCGTGGGCTGGGAGCCGGYGGGGACAATATTGACAGGACCGCGGTGGCGGCAGCTCCGCCGCGCCTGGAGCCAGCCGTGCTTTCTCAGCACTTCTCCTTGGTGAGATGCCCATTTCCCCCGGCCCCATCCCTGCTGAGCAGCAGCTTGTAACGCTGCCAGCCCGTGGGTGCAGGCTGGAGACCCCCCGAATGCTTGGGACAGCCCTGCTCCTGCACCTGACCTGCTYGCTGCAAACTCAGCCCAGGGGCACAGACCCCGGAGATGGGGTGGGAGTTGCAGCCTGGGGTGCTGTCCCCCCCGGGTGGGGATGGATGGAGCAGGGCTGGGGCAGGGGAGGGCTGAGCAGGGAGGATTTCCCCTCCTCCCCTCCCCTYCAGGACCCTTTTTGCATCCCAGAGGCTCCCAGGCAGAGATTCCCCCCTGAGCTGTAATTGGTAAATCAGGCATTGGAATCAGCGCAGGCACTAATGAGAGTAATTAGGAATCATTTGTTACTAATTGAAATAGAAGGATGAGGCGGAATGAGGTGGGGGGGGAAGCCTGGCTGGGAGGCCTCCCTGAGCATGGGGGTGCTGCTACCCCGAGGGTGACAGTCCCTTGTCCATCCTCGTGTCCCCAGGGGGATCATTCCACTCGTCTTCCAGCTGAGAGGTGGCCCCACAGAGYGCACGGTGGCCAAGCTGGGGTCTCCTCCTCATCCCCCAGTGCTGAATCAGATCCTTGGGGGGCAGGGAATACTCCAGCAAGGCTCCTTGTGAAGCTCCAATGGTGCTGGAGCGCTTGGCAGGAGCGCCTTGGAGCCTGCTGCCTGCCAGTCACTTCWGGGAGACGAATGCGCTGGGATGGTTATTTATTTATTTTACGATTTTTTTTTTTTCCCTTTCCCTTCCCCTTGGCGTCGAGCAGGAACGCGTGTGTTGGTTTATTAATATCCCGAGCCTCGCGGAGCGGGGAAACCCGTCTCTCATCCGGCCCTAAAAGCGCCGGCAGCTCTCTGCCGTGGGAAGCAGGGAGGGTCTCCCCCCATCCCCCGGGGGTCCCTGCCCATGCTCCAGGCTCTTCCCTCCTTCCCAGGTGAGCGACGGGAGCCTCACGGTGCTCTCGGTCAGCCGGGAGGACAGAGGTGCCTACACCTGCCGGGCTTACAGCATCCAGGGGGAGGCTGTGCACACCACGCGCCTGCTCGTCCAAGGTGAGACCTTCCAGCTCCTCTGCGTCCCCCGAGGGGCTGCRATGGGGGATCTGGCTGTGGTGCCACCCCAGGGTGACCTGGCATGGCTCTGGCTGCCCCGTGGCCCCGCATCCGGTTTGTAGGATGGAGGAATCYGCTTAATTGGGGCCCGGTGGTGGCCGTGCTGATGAGCAGCCAGGCCCTGATGATGGCAGCTYGGTTTTGTTTGGGAAGCGGGGAAAAGATTGAGGCTGTCATGAAGCGCCTCGTCAGACAGCGCTGATGCATGACAGGCCTCCTGCTCCTTGCTCCCTCTCTTATTAAATAAATCTTTAATTAGGTCAACAGCTACCGGCAGAGAGAGGAGCACGGGGTGTCCTCTGCTCTGCTTTTGTGGCAGTGGCGAGCTGCTGGCTCCTGGCAGTTTGCTGTGTTCCCCCTGGATTTTTCCTGTGGGTGATGCTATCCTGGAAGAATGCTGGGGATGAAGGGAGGTGTGTCCTTGTGTGCCCTGGGAGAAGGGTGTGGATCCACTCTTCAAAGCTGGAGAGATTAGGGAAGGGGTTTGGAATAACAGGGTCACTGTGGTTCTAAATCATGGCAGAGATTAGGGAAAGGGTTTGGAATAACAGGGTCACTGTGGTTCTAAATTATGACAGAGATTAGGGGAAGGGTTTGGAAATAGCAGGGTCACTGTGGTTCTTGGTCATCCCAGAGATGAGGGAAAGAGCTGGGAATGACAGGGGCACTGTGGTTCTTAGCCCAGAGATCAGGGAAAGGGTTTGGAATAACAGGGGTCACTGTAGTTCTAAATTATGGCAGAGATTAGGGAAAGGGGTTTGGAATAACAGGGTCACTGTGGTTCTAAATTATGGCAGAGATTAGGGAAAGGGGTTTGGAATAACAGGGTCACTGTGGTTCTAAATTATGGCAGAGATTAGGGAAAGGGTTTGCAATAACAGGGTCACTGTGGTTCTCTGTCAACCCCTGTGATCCCAGAGGATCAGGGCCAGCCTGGAGCTGTCCAGCAGATCCCAGCCAGCAATGCTGTTATGGACCTGAGCCTGAGCAACCTTTGTGGGGACCTGTAGGGGTGGCAGTGACACTTTTCCCTTCCCCCTCCAGGACCCCCCTTTATCGTCTCCCCTCCGGAGAACATCACAGTCAACATCTCCCAGGATGCGCTSTTCACCTGCCAGGCCGAGGCGTATCCTGGGAACCTCACCTACCTGTGGTACTGGGAGGAGGAGAACGTCTACTTCAAGAAGTGAGTTTATAGCTGGCAGGGCAGCGTGTCCCCCTCCTCCTCCTCCTCCTCCTCCTCCTCCTGCCCTGGGAGCTGGGGTTGTGCTGGGCATTGCCCCTGTGACTCCCTGTAATCCTCCTCTCCTCTTCTCTCGCAGCGACTTGAAGCTGAGGGTGCGGATCCTGATTGACGGGACGCTGATCATTTTCCGTGTCAAGCCAGAGGATGCTGGAAAATACACCTGCATCCCCAGCAACAGCCTGGGCCGCTCGCCATCAGCCTCTGCCTACCTGACCGTGCAGTGTGAGTGCAGGGATGGGGCTGGGGGTGCTAACATCTGCCTCCGAGGCAGCCCCACAGGCTCTGTTGTCCTGGTGTGACACTGGGAGAGCCAGGCTGATGTGACAGCAGCCTTTGCAGGAACATGGAATCATCCTCAGCCAAAAAGCTCCGGAGCATCCCACATGGGTGTGGCAGGCAGGAAAGCAAATGGTCTGAGCATCCTGAGTGATGCTCAGCTGGGACTGGTGTCCACCTTTGCTACAAGTGTTTTTTTAACTCGGTGAGCATCACCCCACGGCTGCTCCCTCGCTGTCCTCGCCCTGCTGGGACGCACCGGGTCAGGGCTCTCAGTGCCAGTGTGTATTTTTTCCTTCTGCGTGCTCCAGAGCTCGGCCTGTCACATTTTTCAGGCGGTAACCGACCTAAACAAGCGGAGGAGAAAGGGCTGTATCGGGAGCGTTGCTTCCCACGCTCGTTCTGCCGGAATCCCCGGGCGGTAATGGGTAGTGTGCCACCGGCATCCCGTGGCATTCCACAGTAATGGCCTCAATTGCCGCCGCTCCAATTGCAGTATTGCTCTGCTCCAAAAGACTGCGGCGCTTTTATTTCATAATGAAAGACGGGCCTGAGCGAAGTGGGCTCTCAACGTGGGTTTTCCGAGGTTGCCTTAGAGCTGCTGCTGCCTTTAGACCCGGTGCTGATTAGCGAAGGGCTGGGAGGTCCCTGCGGGGATGGGTGATGGGGCAGAGCGGGCATGGGGACAGTGCCAGTGGTGCTGTGCCCAGGCTCAGGCGTGATTTGGGGCTTGGATGTGCCCGGCTGGGTGGCTCTGGGGAAAGCCTGTGGCCTCAGGCCATTAAATCTGCCCTCCACTAATCCAGGGCCGCTTGTCAGGGCTGATAGCTGTTAAAAATAGCTCTGATGGCCGGGAGAGCAGCGCTCGGACAATCTGCCACTCAGCCAGCCTTCGGTGCAAAGGAAGGGTGCTCGGCTTTTGGTGCCACAAACCCTTTTCCTCCTGAGCAAACCTCCAAACCCTTTTCCTCCTGAACAAACCTCATCCACAGCGGGGCTGATGCCTCCGGGAGGGAGATTCCCACCCTCCGAAGCGGATGGGGACACAGCTCTGGTCATTAGTGGGCTGGGCTGGCCCCCGGCCAGTGACCTAGTAGTGAAAGGCTCGATCCCATTACCCTCTCCCGCGCTGCTGGAGTCCTTGATTACATTTCCTAAGAGGAGGAGTTAAGCAGAGGGGGGTAAAGCCTGCTCCATATGTGGCACTGGGCAATCTGGGTTATGGTGCCACTGCCGGGGGCGAGCGGTTTGGGGGAGTGGTTGGGGTGATGAGCAGCGAGCAGAGCTCCCAAACTCTGCCAGTTTTACCCCAAGAAAGTGATAAGGACAGGACACCCTCACATCTTCCATCCCTTCCTATTAAACACCATAATATTTACCCCCAACTTTGTATCAGCAGTGCAGGGATGCTGCACCCCAAAACTTCACATTTATCCCTTAATGCAGCGTAAGTCCCACCAGGATTTTCCCACAACCTCGTGCTGCCCGTGTCTAGACGAGATCGTAGAAATACTCACTCTTCTTATTAAAAATAACATTTTTTTTTCAAAAAGCTTCTTATTAAAGGAAGTCTAGATTCTCTTCAACCCACTCGCACTTAATTAAAAAGCTCTTAGAAGTGCTGTTAATGACACATTCTAGACTGGAGGATTGCGAGACACCTCTCTGCGTGGGCGGTGCAGCGTGGAGGGGGGGGTTAGATATGTGTTTTAAGGTTTTTGCATCTTGGAAAGGGTGAGGTGGYTGGTGCTCAACATGACCCAGCCTCKATGAGCCACGAGTACAARCAGATATGGGAAGTAAAGGGTTTGTGGCATCCTGGACATGGATCCTTTTTCCAATCTGGGTGTGTTTTAAGGCTTGGGAGTTGAGACAGCTTTGATTGCTGGTGTGTAAAACCAGGCTGTGCTGGGTGTGCATCACATCTGGCACATGTCGTGCTGCGATGGAGCAGCACAGTCTTAAGCAGGATGCGAGCTGGTGTGGAATTGGGAGCAGGCACATCTCACATTTCTTCTTCAAAGCAATCTCTAATGAGCCCCAGGTAGGAACACCCTGGRCATGAGTAAAGCCTCTCAGAAATGCCAGGTATTGCGRTRGATTTGTGTGTAGCRAGCCTGGGATAACARCCTGYRGGAGCCAGGSTGGTGCTGGCTTTGGAGCTCRTCACWAAAGTGAGGCAGATCCTCTGAAACYGGGCTGGGGGGAGAGGTGGGCTCTGTCTCTGTGCTGAGGTGCTGCTGCTGCCCCCCCAGATCCTGCCCGCGTGGTGAACATGCCCCCCATCATCTACGTTCCCATCGGGATCCACGGGTACATCCGCTGCCCGGTCGAGGCGGAGCCCCCGGTCACGCTGGTCAAGTGGAACAAGGACGGGCGTCCCCTGCGAATCGAGAAGGTAACGAAACCCCTGGGGAGGGGAGGAGGGGCATGGGGGATTTGGATCCTCATATCCTCAGCATCACTGGATGTCCTGTGGCTGTCAGGAGAAGAGGAACCCATAGTAGTGCTTTTCCTCATCGGCTATCAGCAGAGTTGATGCCAGTTCTTGTGTGAAGCACACGGTGCCTTTGGACACTCTGTGTCTCCCACACCTGCTTCCCTCTAAAGCCACCTCCTGCTGGGCCTGGTTTATTTTTCCAATGGCAACTGGTGGTTAAAAGACCCTCTTAACAAATCTAAATCTTCCCCTAATCATGGCTTGATAGTCTGGACAAGGATATTAGCCATTAAATATTTAAAGRAACCGCTCAATATTTTAAATTTTTTGCTTAAATATTAACGATTTGAACTTTTAATTCCATTCAAAGCTGTTTCTGCTGTGGCTTCCTGGCCCTTGGTGCCCTCAGCCCTCCACGTGGAGTTGTCTTGTCCACTCCAGAACAAGTGTTATTATTCTGATCTTAAGTCTTTTGGGCTACATGAAGCAGCCTGGCGGTGTTTGGATGGGCTGATGTTGCCTGGTTTTCCTCTCAGCTTTGGGATGCTGGGAGTGGGATCGGGCACCTCCTGGGGGTGTGGGTGTGGGGGAAAGGATGAGCTGTGGTGGGTGTAGGGTAACTCAGCTCCCTGGTTCTCCCTGCTGCTGCAGTACGCCGGCTGGAACCTGCTGGAAGACGGGTCGATCCGGATCGAGGAGGCCACTGAAGATGCTCTCGGCACTTACACCTGCGTGCCTTATAACGCCCTGGGTACGATGGGCCAGTCTCCCCCTGCCCGACTGGTACTGAAGGTAACTCCCCTGCCAAAATCCCGAGGGTTTGCCAGGAGCAGGGTCCTCCTGTGCCGGGAGCAGCTGCCGGGGCTGYGTGGGGAACAGCAGAGGGTGAGGGCGTGTCTGTGCTGTGGCTGCAGATGTGCTTCCCACYGGCACAGGCAATCCCCCAGGGCACCCTGTGTGGTGTAGCTGGAAACGTTCCACTGGAGCAGCAGCACGGGTTTGGACACTGGGMTGGGGTAGTTTGAGGAGACATCTCTCTGGAATGTCCCCTTTGCCAACAAAACACTTAGCCCTGCTGCCCGGGCGTGGGTTCARGAGGATTTTAATAAATGGATGATTTGAGCTCCACGTGCTGCGGCTGCGTGCGGAGCCCAGGGCTCCCAGCGTGGCTGGGGTGGGAGCTGCTGCCTCTCCTCTCTTCTCCTCTCCCTGAACTGAGTCCTGTGCCTGGGAGGGAGCCCTGGTGATTCACGGCGTCTCGCCCAGCTTGGCGTGATAACGCTTTGTGTACCAGACACACACATCCGCCGGGGCGGCTGCCGGGGCGAGGAAATCAGGTTGATGGCTGATGTGATGTGGGTGGGCTTTTTCCTCTTCCGAGGAGGTAAAAAGCAAGATGCTGCTCAGCCTGGAGAAGAGAAGTTGTGTGGAGATGTCACAGCAGCATKCMAGTGTCTGAAGGGGGCCTATGAGGAAGCTGGRGAGGGATTCTTCATYGRGAATTGTAGKGGTAGGACAAGGAGTAATGGGTTCAAACTGAAGGAGGRGAAGTTTAGGTTAGATGTTAGGAGAAAACTGTTCCCTGTTAGGGTGGGGAGGCCCAGGCACAGGGTGCCCAGAGAAGCTGTGGCTGTCCTATCCCTGGCAGTGTCCAAGGCCAGGTTRGATGGGGCTTGGAGCACCCTGRGTTAGYGGAAAGTGTCCCTGCCCATGGCAGGGGTGGAATGGGATGGTTTTTAAATTCCCTTCCAACATAAACCATTCTGGGATTCCATGATTCTATACTCTAGATCAGTGGCTCTTTGGAGAGAGTYTCCCTCCAGGTGTGTGATTTGRTKTGCCMYGGAGAYTCCTTAGCACRCRTTCTCCACACAATTTTCCTTRCWAYGYCTCAAGCTTCCCCAGAATGGTGATKGTGTTGKTTTGGAAAAGGGCTGGTTTTGGTGATGGGATCTGGGGCTGGCTGACACTCCTTGTTTTCCCCCTTGGCTGCAGGACCCCCCCTATTTCACGGTGCTACCAGGCTGGGAGTACAGACAGGAGGCAGGGAGGGAGCTGTTGATTCCTTGCGCTGCTGCCGGAGACCCCTTTCCCATCATCGCCTGGAGAAAGGTACCCGGCCTGCCAGACAAATCTGCAGTGCCTTTGGCTTTTGGTGAATATTGCAGACAGAGAAGCCACACTCTGTCCCGGTAAGAACAAACTGCAGGTACAGCTGCTTCGCTTTGGGCTGAGCCACTGCCGTCCTGTCCCGCAGGTGGGTGGGGGAAGCCCGGCTTGTGGCCACCGAGTAATCCCGGGAAACCAACACGGCAGCATCCGCAAAGCTGAAACACTGCCCCCGCCCCGGGCCCCTCCTCTGCCTCGCCAGCACTGCCCACAGGATGCCCTCCTCCTTGCCTGGCTCCGAGGTGTCACCAGYAGGACGTGGCAGCCGTGGCAATGCTGTTCTGGCAGCACAGACACCCCACGGAGGGAGGGGATGTGTCACCGTGGCACGGCCAGGGCTCTTTTGACTCGGAACCAACCAGAAGCTGCTTTACTGTCCCATGACTTCAACGAGCCTGGAAGAAGCTCCTGGACCGGATGTGAGGATTTCAAGATGTCCTTTTTCATAGAGCAGGATGTGGTGACACAGCCTGGGAGCAACAAGGGCTTTCCAGTCCTTCTGCAGCCTTCCCWTTGCTTCCCACCTTTACTGCTCCAGTAGGAAATCTTCTCCACAGGAGATCTCCTGTGCTCTTTGTCCTCCGGTTAGGATCTTTCCTCCAAGCCTTCGATTCCCTTCTTAGGGCTCTTGAGGGTGAGCTGGGTCCCTGTGTCACCCAAGACCCTGGATCTTCAGGTCACCTTTAGCAGCACAAGGAGGACCATGGCTTGCACACCTTGCAAGTGACCTACCTACAGCTTGTTGGCTGTTCAGTCTTTTTCTCCATCTTATTTTTCTCTCACTGCCATCTCCAGTCTCAGTCAGGTTTCTTTCCAGTCCCACTTGTGCCTTCTGGTGGTTCTCCTCATATTGTGGCTCTGAGCTTATCCCCTCCCACTCCGGTCAGTGCTAGTCTGGGCTAGGCTCAGTTTCCCCCTGGCAGAAGCCATCTCCCTCCCTCCCCATCAGCCCACCAGTGCTGACCAGTCGCTTGAAGGACTCCTGGGCTTGGCACTGGTAGCCCCACATGTCCATGGGCTCCTCTGCTCCTCCTGCTTGGTATTGATCCGTGGGTCCTGGTGTTGATCAGCAGAATCCCCCACRTGAAGAACAGCTGAAGAGGAGTCAGGACAACGTGGGATTTGCACATCTTTGGCTGATGGGCATAGACRAGTTGTTACAAGATCCATCTTTCCGCTCTGCTTGAGAGATTCCAGGCACCTGCACGCACGCCATCCTCCCACACCCCCATGGGGCCCTTGCTGCCCAGACTCTGACGTGAAGGCTCCTGCCTCTCATCTGCTGCTGACTGAGGCTGAGGGGCATCTCCTGGGGCAGCCTGTGCCTTCCCCATCCCGGGAGGGGGTTTGCTGGGGTGGCCGGTGCCCCTTCCCGCAGCCGTTTCAGCTTTGGATGCTGGAGGTTGAGCCCCGGCGCGGGGCTCGGTGCCGTGGGGTTTCCCGCTTGTGTGTGAGTGCTGAGCAGCAGCCTCCTGACGCATGCCTCTCGCGTTGCCCCCCAGGTCCTCTCGGAAACGGGGGAACCGTCTGCCTTGCCACGACCGGAGAGACCGGATCCCCTGCCGGTGGCCGGCGGTGTCCCCTGGGCCGCGCAGGTAGCTTAGTGACCCCGCCGCCGCCTCGCCCTGCCCCATGGCCCGCTGCTGAGTCGTGTCTTTTCTCTCTCTTTGCCCGGCTCCCCACCCCGCTCCTTGCCCAAGGTAGGGAAGCCCAGCAGGAGCAAGCACAACACGCTGCCCGGCGGGACCCTGCAGATCCGCTCCCTCGGCAAGGACGACCACGGCGAGTGGGAGTGCGTCGCCACCAACATCGTCGCAAGCATTACTGCCAGCACCCACCTGACCGTCGTAGGTACGGGCAGGGGGGCGAGGGGCCTGGGGAGAGACCCCCAGGTGAGGCAGGAGGTGGGGGTGCTCCCCACAAAGAGAGTTGTGGTGACAGGACGAGGGGGAGTCGCTTTAAATTGGGTGGCAGTAGGTTTGGTGCCTAAACCTGGCTACCTAAACCAAAGCGCAGACAAAATTCATAGAATCCAAAGCAGTTCTATTTATTGCAGGGCCTTCAGGGCCATTCAGGGCAGTCCCAGCCCAGCCAGGGSCTGCACCCACAATGGACAATGGCTCACGGCTTTTTCACCCTTTCTCACTTTTGTCCATTTGCACAAAATCGGGCCTGAATCCTCCAATTGCAGCTGCAGCCAATGCAGTCAAAAACTCCAACTTGGCTCCCCCAATTCTCTGTTGTTTCCATCTCTTGGGTCCTGGCCCAGGGAGGTGTCCTTGAGTTTGGGGCTGCAGAGGAATYGTTTTGTGTAAAAATGGGAGAGCAGGAGCTCAGCACTGGAGCCTGGGCTTATACACTGAAGAATTACAAGAGTACAGATACATGAAAAATACGAAGCTAAAATCCTAAGGCATCGGTTTTAGTTGGGATGTTGGGAAGAAATTCTTCAGGTTGGTGATGCCCTGGTGCAGAAGCTGTGGCTGCCTCATCCCTGGAAGTGTTCAAGATTGCATTGAATGGGGTTTGGAGCAACCTGGTCTAGTGGAAGGTGTCCCTGCCCATGGCAGGACGGTTTGAGATGTCCCTTAGGTTTCTTTCCAACCCAAAGCACTCTGTGATTCTCAGAGCAATGTCTCCTGTAAATGTTATTTCCTGCTGCAGTTGCCTTTTTCTGCGCTGTTGTTTTGACCACCTGTCCAGCAGAAATTCTAGTGGCCTTGGCTTGGTGTGAGAGGAGTCCTCTCAGACCATGACATGGGAGGTGACCCCTTCCAGCCCTGCTGTTGCTCCCCTCTAAGCTGTCCCCTCTCCCTGCAGGGACAAGCCCTCATGCCCCGACCAGCGTGCACGTCGTGGCCGCCATGACCTCAGCCAACGTGTCCTGGGAGCCCGGCTACGACGGTGGATACGAGCAGACTTTCTCAGTTTGGTACGGCCCTCTGTGAGTCATCCTGGCATGCTTTGCTCTCTGCTTCTTTTCCTTCCTAGCYGACCCGAGCTTCGAGCAGCCGGGGGGAGGAGGGTGGGGAGGGTGGCGTGCCCAGCTCTGTGCCCTGCAGGGCTGAGCTCCCTCGGGGTTCCTAGGAGAGGTGGGTGGTGGTGGGATGGTGTTGTTCCCATATTTCTTCTCCCTTCTGTGCTGGCCACTGCCTCTGTCTGCCCCAGCAGGTTTCACTCTGCTTGTGGTACTCAGGAGAYGCTTCTGCATTCATGTAGCTCTGCCTCTGGCATCTAATTTCAAGATAAACTGTTTATGAGGCTTAACAGCAAGGGAGAGGATAGAAAATGCAACCTTTAGAGAGTGTGTGTCCTGGAAGGGCTGTGACTAAGCAGAAATGTTCTCTCCTTGCTCGGTGGCTCCCTGGAGGTGGCTCAATCCTGGCTGAGATCATGACCAGGCRCTGTGAGATCCTGGCACAGGGGCTGAGCCTCCTGGGGCTTTGCTGCCACAGCTCCTGTGCTACCCAGCACCCAAAAATGCTGCGTGCATCCCACCTTCCTGCAGCAGGGCCAGGCTCAGCCCTGTGCCTTCCTCTGGGGCAGGGGAGGGAGAAATGTAGCTGCAGCAAGGCTGRGGTTTTCTTTGGGCTCTGCTATTATCATCTTCTTCTAAAAATCATCCTTGGAAACATGGAGGGGGTTATGCCTTCCCTTCCCAGGCTTGGCCTGGCATTCTTCAGCCTTTCCTCTCGCTCTCTCGTTCTTTCCTTGCCTTAATTTGCCCTGATGGAGACTGCTGATAGAGACGAGAGAGGGAGACGCTGCCTGTAATGATTTCTGCTCTGCTCCAGCCCGGGGCTGGGTTGTCTGTCTGAAGACAGAGAGAAGGAATGGATTGAGCAGAGGGGGAGAAAATGAGGGAGCAAGCTGAGTGGTGCAGACCTTGCTTTGATGAAAATGTCCTTGGCAGGGAGTGGTTAAACCTCTCTGCTCTGGAGACGTGGCTGCATCAGCAGCTGCTGCTGCTCTTGCTCCGCAACCTGCTGCCGGATTCCTGCCTCCTCGTGGCTCTCCCAGGCTCCACAGGGAGAGCAGCCAGCAGGGAAGGGTGTTTGCACCAAAGCCTGCATTCAGGAATTCACAGACAGCTGCGGGGATTTTGGCTAGGGAGGCAGCGATCCGCCTTGCCCTGACCCTCGGCTGTGATCTGTGCTGCTCCCTGGGACAGGATCTGGGACACAGCTGGGTCACGCAGTGCCATCCAGAGTGCCATCCGTGCGTTTTCCTCCCTGCCGTGGCCGTGGGATGCTCGAGCTAAACATGGCTTCGTTTCTTCCGGATTCGTGCTCTCCTCTCCTCCCGCGCCTGCGGTTGTTGAGGCTGGAAATGCAAACCCCGCTCGCCAGGGATGGCCGGGGCCATCGCAGCGTTACAGCCACCTCCTCCCTCAGCAAGGGGCTTCTCCCAGCTTAGAGCTGCGTTTGCCCTCTGCTTTCCCCACCTTCAGCYCCTCTCTGGTGTGTCCCTGCCCGCAGCAGCGCCGGGAAGGAGGGATGTGAGAGCAGCGGGATGAAAACTGCAGGAAAACCTGTCCAGGATGAGGAGCTGCCCCGCTGCCCTCCTGCCCGTGCCGGGGGCGGTGTGGGATCCTGGGAGCTGTAGTCCCAGCCGGAGCTGCACTGATCCAGAGCCTTTCCCTGCGTTCGGCGGAGCCACACGGCTCCTGCAYGGCTCCCCACCGACCCGCTGGTTTCCATGGCTTGCTGCTGCTCCTCCGCCTCCCCTTCTGCTCCCTGGACAGCAGCACTGTTTCTCTCTGCTCCATCTTTTCCTGCTGGCAGGATTCAGCTGGCAGTGTGCAGAGTGCCCCCTTACCTGTGCAGGACTGACCATCTGCACCAATCCTTCCCAACCCCTCTCTGGTCACCCCCAAACCCTGCAACAAGGGCTCAGACTCCCTGAAGCATCTCTCTAAAACGAGCACTGACACTTGCAGTATCACAGCAATGCAGTGATGCTGCTTTGGGATGTGGGGCTCATCCACTGAAGTGTCTCCTGGTGGGATTGTGGCTTGTGGAGGTGGCTGCATGCTCCTGGGTGGCACTGGGAGTGTTTTTTGCTCTGTTTGTGGTTAGACCCCAGCAGGAAGGCTCTGTCCTGTCCCTGYCAGCACCTCTGCTGCATTGCCAAACCCTGAGCGGTGCCCCCAGGCTGTGCTGGCAGCCCCCGACGTGTGCAAATGTGGCAGAAATGGGGATTGAGTTAAATGTCTCTCGTGGGATGACATGTACAGGGCTACAGCTGAGGGAGAACTTGGCTCTGGCTCAGGAGATGTCGAGGTATAAATGGGAACAGGGCCTGTCTCCTGCGTCAGCCGTTCCCTTTGCAGCGCTCACCAAAATGCTCCCGCTCCCACTTTTGCCCATGGGAACCTGGTGGGGATCACGTCACAGCGGGGCTGTTGGCACTGCTGGTGTCCCTGACCCTGCCCACAGCAGCGGGGAGAGCTGGTGGCAGTGCCCCTGAGAGCTGGTGGGACATGAGGGGATGGTGGCCTGTGCCAGCTCGTGGGTGGCRAGCGGCTGCCCCACGTCCATCCACATCACTGCTGTCAAACCAAACCATCGCTCGGGAAAGCTCCATTTTTGCATAAGAAGTTAATGCTGCCTCTTTGTCCTGCCTGTCACCTGCACCTTCCCTGAGGATGCCCCCTTTTCTCTYGGCAGGATGAAGAGAGCCCAGTTTGGACCCCATGACTGGCTGTCTCTCCCCGTGCCAGCTGGTTCCAGTTGGCTGCTGGTGGATACCTTGGAACCAGAGACTGCTTACCAGTTCAGTGTCTTGGCTCAAAACAAGCTGGGCACCAGCTCCTTCAGTGAGGTGGTCACTGTGAACACTCTAGGTGGGTCCTGTGTGGGCACAAGGGAAGGGATTTGGGAGGTCTGTGGGGAGAAGGAGCAATTTGCCTTGCTGCACATGTCCCGTCTGGAGATGGAGATGATGATTATCAGCAATAATGTCCAGCCATGTAGAAGATAATTAGTGGAGGGTCCTGGGTGAAACTTGCAGGTTTTGCAGGATGCATGAGGCTCTAGAAGGCTTGTCCTAAGACCCAGCCTTGGAGGGCTGTACTGTGCCAGTCACCTCTCCAATCTTCCTTAAGTTCAGCTGGGATCAGGAGGTATTAATAGAGCACGAGATCACTTGTTACAGCTCAGAGCCTCTGGGCTCTCAGGTGGAGGTGGGAGGAAACAGCAAGGCCTGCCTTTTGAAAAAACACTTTTCCATTTCTGTGATGAGAGACCAGACTCCCGAGATGTGCCCTAAACTCCTGGAATGTGGGAATTGCTGGGATGACCCTTCTCCTGCTGCTGGAAGAGGAYCTGCCACCTCTCAAAGGCGTCCCTGTCCTTTCTGCTCTGTCCCCAGCATTCCCTGTAACAACTCCAGAGCCTCTGGTGTTGGTTACCCCACCGAGGTGCCTAACAGCCAACCGGACACAGCAAGGCGTCCTCCTGTCGTGGCTCCCTCCCGCTAACCACAGCTTCCCCATCGACCGCTACATCATGGAATTCCGCGTGGCAGAGAAGTGGGAGATCCTGGATGATGGCATCCCGGGCTCTGAGAGCGAGTTCTTTGCCAAGGACTTGTCCCAGGTGAGCAGGAGATRCCCACACCGATGATCTTTTCCAGCCTTAATKGTTYTGTAATAATACTGCACCATCTGCTGCTGCTCCGGGGAAATTTTGGAGTGACTCAGTCCCTGAGCTGTGATCTTCAAGGAGCTGGGCGAGTGTTGGAAACAATACAAATTTTTAACWATTTTAGTTAATAGTTTAAAGTAATCATGACCTATGTACATATAAATTATAAATAGTGTGTTATTCTTCAATTGCTCTTAGCCAGCATTTGGCAAAGTTATCATAAGCTACTTTTTTAGGAGCACCCTTTAGGAAAATGACTGAAACTTTAAGTTTTGAAGTCACACTGACATCCTTCTATAAACAAAGCTTGGGAGGGAAAGATGTATTGTTGAGGTTGGAATGTAGGAGTTCTGGACTATTGGGGCATTTTGCAGAAAGCAGAAGATAAAGAGAYTAAAAAAGTCTCAGCATATGTGTTGGGAAGTCCCTACAGAAGGAAAAAGATACTAAAAATATGGACTAATTAGCATAAGAAGCGAGAAATCAATAACCAGTAGAGGATAGAGTGCTAATTAATGAAAGAGAATTGTGTAGTTTTGAACCAATGARCAATAATTGTTTGATAAAAATGTATAAACAGATGAAAAAATTTTGTACCTGTGCCTGTGTGGAGGCCAGAATTTTGTTGGCCGCTCACCCCCTGKTCAAGGATAAAAGTCTGACTTGCTAACGTTAAAAGGATGGTGTTAGAGGGTTTTATTGGTGCTGGGGATGCTGGAGGATCTGGTGAGATGAGGCTGGAGGCTGTCTAGGCGCTCTGACGGGTGTGTTTGGTGTTCCAGGACACCTGGTACGAGTTCCGCGTGCTGGCGGTCATGCAGGATCTCATCAGCGAACCCAGCAACGTCGCTGGCGTGTCCAGTACAGGTGAGGATCAGCTCCTCTTCTCCCCAGAGCTGAGGGGCAGGGGGTGCAGGGCTGTGCTGTGTGTCCTGGGCACGGCKYTGTCCCCAGGCRTTGTCCCCARGCGTTGTCCCCAGGCTGCCTCCCRACGGGAGCAGGCGAGGACAAATCCCCGGGTGCTGCAGAGCCCAGCCCAGCCCAGCCCGGAGAACAAAGCTCCGAGCGGGCACTGCGCAGCCGGGAAACAGGAATGAATGCAAGGTGGAGAGAGGCAAACGCAGCACTGCAGTGCAGGGTCCGCAGGGAAAAGGGCTTTGCGAGCCGGAGGCTGCACCGCGCTGCGGTTCGTGCGAGCTCCGAGGATGCTCCTGGAGCCAAGGGGCAGCAGAGGGGTTGTGATGGAGATGGGGGAGGCGAGGGCGGCAGGAGGGGTTGGGGATGAGATGAGCCCGGCTTTTTCGGCTCTGGTGGAACGCCCGGCTGTGCTGTGCCGCGATGCTGCGGTCTCTCTCTGCCCCCAAGTGGTGCCGGCGTGGTGCGGAGAGCTCGCTGCACCTCCCTGCTCGCTGCACCTCCCTGCTCGCTGCACCTCGCTGCTCGCTGCACCTCCCTGCTCGCTGCACCTCCCTGCTCGCTGCACCTCCCTGCTCGCTGCCCTTGCTCCTCACGCCCGGCTCCTCTGATGGGGTTTGGCAGGTGCCCGGCCCCAGGCAGCTGCTCTGCCAGGCTGAAAGCCCGTGTTCGGCGGGGGAATGCGCTGATCCTGGATGTGGCACACGGCAGGAGCACCGAGGGGTGTGGGGTGTGCATCGACACGTGAGCTGAGCTCTGCTCAGGGTTCACACGTGCTCCTGCTCAGTGAAGGGGTGCCAGAAGGGTTTGGAGCCCAGTTTTCACTGAAAAGCTGAAATGAAGCACTGACAAAGGGGTTGGAATACCTTGTGCTGCTGCAGCAGGTTATTCAGCCAAGAGATAACTGCAGGTTTGCTGCAGCTGCGTGTGTTTAGACACAAATATGTGTTTATTTGGTGTGGAGGCTTCTTCCCTGGGTGTCCATCATCTCATGCAGAAATGTTGATCAGGTTGCTTTGGGTAACCTGGTACAGTTGAAGACTTTCCTTGCTCTTTGCAGGGGAGCTGGACTAGGTAGTTTTTAAAAGCCTTTCCCAACCCCAGATATTTTATGATTCTGTGATCTGGTGTGACATCACTAAATCCCTTGGCCCTGAAGCAGCACTGATCTCTCTCCCTGGGGAGGGCTGGCTTGGAAGCAGGGTCTTTRGAGAGATTATCATTCCTGGAGGCTGTCACTGCCCCCACACCGTGGCAGCTCCCTGGGGAGGGCAGCAGGTGTAACACTGAATGGTTGTATTTTCCCCCAGACGTTTTCCCTCAGCCTGACCTGACGGACGAGGGCCTAGCCCGCCCGGTGCTGGCTGGCATCGTTGCCACCATCTGCTTCCTGGCTGCTGCCATCCTCTTCAGCACACTCGCCGCCTGCTTCGTCAACAAGCAACGCAAACGCAAGCTCAAGCGCAAGAAAGGTGAGTYCCTTCCCCGTGTGCTTCCTCCCTCCCTCCTGTCTCCTCCTCGTTTCTCCCTCCTGCCTGTGTTGTGGTCGTAACCTTCTTCCCTGTCTGTCTCTTCTTGGTCCGTGCGCGTCCTCAGGTGAAGCCCTGACTTCCTCCCTCGGCTGTGCCTGAAAGCGCCCGCGGTCGGGAGCGGGAGAGGCAGGGTGGGTGAAGAGGCGCCAGAGAAWCTAGCCTGGGAATTCCGAGGGAGCTCTCCCGCCTGGTGATGACTCCTAGGGCCGGGGGTTTAGGGCTGGGCTGTCCTCTGGGATGCAGATGGGGGGCACCAAGCCCGAGCTGGGCTCTCCAGCTGCTCCCAGCCCGGAGCAGGCGGTGCTGGGCTAGAGAAGACCCCAAAGGAGACCCTGCCACTCTGCTTCCCGAAAACTGGGACTGCAGCCCCAGGGAAAAGGGTGGCTGGGGAGCTGGAGAGGGCAGGGAAGCGGCTCCATCTCCTCCAGCCTTCGGGGTTGTGGCAGCAGGATGGGCAGGACCCTGTGACGGGAGCTGTTTGTTRTCAGCAACCATTAAAGCGCTGGAGCAATGAAACCTTGGCCTCTTGTTGAGTGTCTTTTGTTGTCTTGATGTTGAGTCTGTCTTGTCTCTGTCGTGTTGCGCCTCCTCAGCRTTCTCTCTTCTTTCCCCTTTTTATTCTCTTCCAGACCCTCCTCTCTCGATAACCCACTGCAGGAAGAGTTTGGAGTCCCCGTAAGTATCTGTCTGAGCTGCGGCACCAGGCTGTGGGGTCTTCAAGGTGCCTCCTTCCCACAGTCATTGCAAAGCTCAAATGGAAATCTCTCGTCCTTATTTGGCTGCTCCTGATGAGTTGTTTTTGGTGTTCCCTGAACTTTTGGGAGCACAGCGATTCACAAGAGACAAATGAGCTTTGGAGCAGACAGAAGGCAGCAGGGACAAATGCAGCAAACTGAGCTAAGAGATGACCCCGTTGGATCTGTGAACATTTTCCAAAGCTGSAGTTGGCTGGTGGAGCTCAATTACGCACCAGTTGGAAGGGGCTCCTCAGGAGAAGGACTAGCCTGCTGCACATGGAGTCCTTCCTGCCAGCTCGGTGCAGTTTTTGAGYCATTCTCTGTTGGCTCTGCTTTTTCCTGGGAAATTCACCTTTTCTCCTGAAGAATGCCCTGCTGAAGCCTCTTTCCACATGTGCCCAAAGGTGGTGGATCGTGGTGGTGCAGCTCCTTGCAGAGCCTATCCAAAGCATGAATAGCTGCAAATCCAAATCAGCAGGAGCATCTTCCCGGTGGGAGTGCAAGAGTCTGGGATGTGGACACCTCATGCTTTGGCTCCTGGATTGTTGCAAAATGTCCCAGTGCTGGTGGATCTGAATCTTACTTGTTTTCAGTTCATCCACTGCACTGTCTGTGTTGTTTCTGCTATGTTTTGCCTCTCAATCCTGCTTGTCCGAGGCTTTCTGGGTAGGGATGAGGGAGCTATTCTGGTGCTCTTTGCTTTTTGAGGCTCTCAGCCCAAAGTTTGAGTGTTGAGGATGGGAGAAACAGTTGGTCTGAAATGATCCGTCAGCRTCTTTGAGTGAGATGCTGAGTTCTGTGGGAGGGAACATTTGCCTGATGTCCTTCTTCTCAGGGCTTTTCCTGGGCATGGATAGCTCAGGTGAAAATAGGAGACCATGGAAGGAGTTGGAATTGAGCTCTGGATCTGTCTTTTGTGCCAGTGGGGCTGTGGAGCTCGTTGCAGGGTGTTGGTGGAGCTTGTTGCGAGGTGTTGGTGTGAGCTTTCTGCCCCGAATGTGCTGAGCTGCCCTCCTGAGGAGCAGGGCTGGCCAAACTCTGCCATCCTGGTTAGCCCCTGCCGATTCCTCCCAGCAGTTCCTCTTTGGAGAGCTGGCAGCACTCTGTTTCCCGGATCCAGAGCTGTTCTTCTGGGCGAGAAGGCCTCCTTTGCCCTCYGGGTGACCGTCCCCTCTCTCGGTTTTTCTCCCCTGTGGTCCAGGTTGTCTTCCGGCAAGGTGAGTCCCGAGAGCATCCGCACGCTCCGTCCCCCCTCGGAGTCYTCTGACGACCAGGGCCCGCAGGCCAAGCGGATGCTGAGCCCCACCAAGGAGAAGGAGCTCTCCCTTTACAAGAAGACCAAACGAGCCATCAGCAGCAAGAAGTACAGCGTCTCCAAGGCGGAGGCCGAAGCCGAGGCCACCACCCCGATCGAGCTCATCAGCCGCGGGCCGGACGGACGCTTCGTCATGGACCCRGCGGAGATGGAGCCGTCCCTGAAGACACGGCGGATCGAGGGCTTCCCCTTCGTGGAGGAGACGGACATGTACCCCGAGTTCAGGCAGTCGGACGAGGAGAACGACGACCCCGTCGTCCCCGCCTCCGTGACCGCCCTGAAAGCCCAGCTCACCCCTCTGTCCTCCAGCCAGGAGTCCTACCTTCAGCCACCAGCATACAGCCCCCGGTTCCACCGGGCGCTGGAGGGTCCCGGCACCCTGCAGGCCACTGGCCAGGCCCGCCCGCCGGCCCCCCGGGCTTTCCACCACCAGTTTTACGGTTACCTCAGCAGCAGCAGCCCCGGGGAGGTGGACCCGCCGCCCTTCTACATGCCAGAAGTCAGCCCGCTGAGCTCGGTCATGTCCTCCCCGCCGCTGCCCCCCGAGGGGCCCTTCGGACACCCCACCATCCCCGAGGAGAACGGGGAGAAYGCCTCCAACAGCACGCTGCCCCTGGCCCAGACCCCCACGGGGGGCCGGTCCCCCGAGCCCTGGGGCAGGGCCGAGTTCCCCTTCGGCAGCCTGGAGCTGGCCCCCGCGCCGTTCCCCCACCAGCTCCAGCCCTGCGAGGCGGCCGAGGGCTCCCAGCCCACGGGCTGCCTTCCTCGGGGGCCGCCCCCCTCCTCCCTCCAGGTGGTCCCCGCGTCCTACTCGGGCATCCTGCCCCTGGAGGCACCAAAGAGCTGGACCGGCAAGTCACCGGGCAGGGGTCAGTCCTCCGTGCCCGCTACCACCAAGTGGCAGGACAAACCTATGCAACCCATGGGATGTCAAGGGCAGCTAAGACATACCAGCCAAGGTATGGGCATACCCGTGTTGCCTTACCACGAACCGTCCGAGCCCGTCGGCCCCAGCGGCACAAGCACATTCAGCCTGGACACCAGGTGGTACGAGCCCCAACCCCGACCTCGGCCCAGCCCTCGGCAGGTCAGGAGGGCTGAGCCCAGTTTACATCAGGTGGTGCTACAACCTTCAAGGCTTTCTCCTCTGACCCAAAGTCCCCTGAGCTCCCGCAACAGCTCCCCGGAGCTGACCGCCCGCGCCCGGCCCCGCCCGGGGCTCATCCAGCAGGCGGAGGTGTCGGAGATCACGCTGCAGCCGCCCGCGGCCGTCAGCTTCTCCCGCAAATCCACGCCGTCCTCCACGGGATCTCCGGCGCCGAGCAGCCGGGGGGACAGCCCCAGCTTCCGACCGACCACCGCCTTCACCCCCGTGGGCACCGGCTTCTCCAACTCCCAGGGCTCCTCCCTGCCCGTGGACACCATGGATGTTTTCGGAGACATCCCCTCTCCGAGGAGGGCTGGCGAGGAGATTCTCCAACCGGAGCCGACATCCACCACCACGGTAGCCGCCACGGGGTAAGTGCGTGAGCCCCGTGGTGACCCCCCCTCCCCGGCCCCTTCCTGGCTTCCCCCACCCTGCCTCACCCGCTCCCTCTGACTCCCTCCCTGCCATCACCATCCCAACCGGTAGGGTCTCTCTGGGCACGCTGCAGCATCCCTTTTGGAGACGGCGTCCCGCGGGCTTTGCTAGGCAGAGGCTGGTGCCACGGGCACGGGTTGCATGGCCGCCGCCCGAGAGCGCTGGGTTTTAGGCAGGCAGCCTTCCCGCTCCCTCGGGAATCTGGGAGCGCCGTGACTCGGGCTACGGGCCGCCTACCAGGTGCACAAAGGCCTGGCTCGCTTAGGTAAGTGTCCTGGTGTCACTGGAGGTTGTTTCCTCTTCTAGCTGCTGGCTCTTGGCTTTCTTCGAACGTTAGGGCCGCCGCCGCCGCGCCTCTGTCTTCCTCCTCTTCCTTCCCGCGGAGTCTAGAGAGCTTTAATGCATGACAGAAACAGCTATCACGGTCACCGCCCCACCTGCAAAAGGGATGCTGCAGCCCCAGGACGCGGGCAGGGAGAGATCAAGGACTTAGCCACACCAGCAGCATGTCAGGAGAGGAGGAAAAATAAAAATAAACTAAGCCCAGCGGAGATCGGGAGGCTGCCGGCACGCTCAGATCCTGCCCTAAAGAGGGATGTGGCTGCACTAGACAGTAGCGGCTGGTTTTCCAGGTACCAGGGTTGCTCCAGGCAAAAGCGTCTCTCTCTCTCTCTCTCTCTTTCTTTCTCTCTCTTTCTCCTCTTTCCTTCCGTCTTTCACAGCACCTTAGACCCCGTAGCCGTGCTTTCGTCCCATCCTTTCGTCTTGCTTCATTCTGGCTTCTTGTCTGGTGGGGTCGAGCCCCCTCCTCCGGCTTGTGGCAGAGAGGAGTCGGGGGCCCGGGCTGCTGGCCCCGCGGAGCCGGCGCGGTCGGAGGCGTTCGGAGAAGAGGCTGTGATTTGGGGAGGGGGGAGGCAGCGTTTCACCCCGCAGTGCCCTCCGCATTTCACTCCCGCCCTCTGGTACCTGGAAGCGTTATGGCCTTAGCAAATCCCTCCGGCACTGAACGGAAGGAAGGAAGGAAGGAAGGAGGGCTCAGGGGAGAGAGAGGATGGGGAGGGAGAGCAGCTGAACGAGCCTGAAATGACTTCTGTGTGCCTCTGCAAAACCCAGCTACGGAGCGATGCAGTCAGGGATGTAGTTACAGGTCCACGTCTCCTAGCAGGGCATGCCAAGGAGAGCCAGCTCCAGGACAGARCCGTGTTAGAGCAAGCACTGTTGTCCGTGCTTTTACGCAGTGTATCCATTCGCTTTGTTGATTATCGTTTTCGTTTCTTCTTTTCCTTTCTCTTCTGTTTCTTTCCCCCTTTCTTCTCCAGCCTCGTTTCGTTTGTGTTTCAGTTTGGTTTCTTTCCCTCCTTTTTCCTTTGGAGTTGTTGACGTGCTGATGTGTTGCGGAGCTCGGCTCCTTGCGGGTGTTGATAACTGCTTTGTTTTTGATTAATCTCAGCTATCTGGGCAGTGTTGTCGAGACAAGCTTCTCCTCAGCTCAATAGGTAAGGGTGATCCATGTCCGAAAGGATGGTGTGGGTGCTGTGGAGGGTGGCCGGGAGCGGGGCATGACAGGGGACACGGAAGGGGCTTTTCCAATACCATCTCTTCCTTTAAAGGGGAATAAGGAATCCGAAAACACTAGGAAACACCTCTGGAYGCACAGTCTCTGTGGCTTTTGGGTTTCCCCTCCCAGCAGCACACGCTGCTCCCCTGCCTTCGGGGCTGGGGTTTGGGATGAGCCGAGCTGCCGTCTTCCTGGGGCCACCCTTCCTGTCTTGGGGGACGGTGGCACACGTGGCACCTTTGGCCCTGGCAGGGTGCGTGAGGGTTGTGTTGTGTTAGGGAGGTGCTGAGGTGAGGTTGTCTTGGATGATCCAAACCAGGAGGAGCCCATGGCCACCCCCTGAAGCCAGGAAAAGCAGCCACATCTGGAGCAGCCAGCTGCAGACAGCGTGCTCAGAGTGGGGCTCCAAAAATCAGTCTCTATCTGCAGTCCAGCACATGGGGAATTTTGCTTCCAGCAGTATCTGGACCTGTTTTCTTTTTCCCAAGTCTCCTCAATCATGGAAAGTGGGAGAAGTGTTTCTCCCAAGATGGATTGTGTGCTTGGCAGCAGCATAACTGTGCTTTCAGGCTGCCAGAAGGATGTTCTTTCCTTCCCATCACAAGTGGAGTCATGGTATAATCCCTCWATCCTTGAAATTCTTCTTGGAGAAATCTTTGACTCCTTCTGACCCAACTGTAATTAAACAGCCCTAAGCAGATCTTGAAAGACTCTTCCAGGAAAATTCCTTTTGGGCTCCCTTCATGGGGCTGGTTTCCTGGATGGCCCTGGGCATTTCTGGAACTGGGATGGAGTAATTTGGAGATGGTTTTCAGAGCTTAGAATCAGAATATCACTAAAACTGTCGAATCCAGATGGAATAATAATAATTAGTGACGCAGAGGATTGGAAACACTGACCTGTTTGGCCATCAGTCAGGCTGGTTAGGAAAGGAGAGATGGGATTGCAGATGGGCCTGTTTCCAGGGCCTGGCCATACCCAAACTTCCTTAGGACAGATCTTACAAAAGGTGAAGCTTTGCTGCCTTRGTTGGGAAAAGTCAAGGACCTGGCTGATTCTCTCCAGCAGCCTGAGGAACCATGTTGGGCTGGAAAAGAGCCTCACGAGAGAGGGGTGGGATGTCCAGAGAAGTCAGGCAGATGTTTCCAGGAGAGGAGAATTCCTCCAGCTGACCTGGAGGGTTGTCCTGGGGTGAGRAGAGCAGGATTGGTGAGGAGGGGRTGTTGGGACAGGATGTGTGCTCCATGGACGAGCCATCCTCTTGGCATGACAAAACCCATCCCATGTGAGCCTTGCAGCTCCAAAGCTCTTGAGCTCTTGGCTGCCTTCTCCTTCTGTTTTTTTTTCCTTGGTGTCCTGTGAGGAGCAAGCCTGGCTCCAAGCCTTGATGAGATCTGGGTTGTGCCAGGCTTTTTGAGAGATGGGGAAGCCTTCAGTGAGGATGTGTTTGTTTGTTCTTACTCTGGCAGCATTAAGGACATGAGTGGACATGGCTTTAGCACAGAATAGGAGAATCCAGGCTTGTGTCTGAGTTTGGGGTGGCTCTTGCACAGATCCTGGCTGGCTCCAGCTCTGGCTGATGGATTTTGAGGAGTAAGGTCTCACTGCCCAGCAGGGTGGGAGCAGCCGTGTTTCCTACTCCAGGATGCTCACAGGGACAAGCAACTCCAGAGTCATTATCCCCAAAAAAGGGAAGCCTGGAGAATAAATTTCACTTTAATAAGTGAGGAATCCCATAGAGACYCCAGCCAAGTAATTTCTTGATGATTTGGGGTCATAAAATTGTCAGTGCGTGCGGAGCACAGGGATTTTATACCAGACCAGCCAGATTTCTCTACTGCAGCATTAAGAGCTGAGAGGAGAGGAAGAGGCAGCCTGTGGCTCCACGATGACTGCAGCATGGTGGCTGCAGCATAGTGGCTTTTTCCAGGTGAAGCTCAGGGAGTTTTTATGGATGGGCAGGGGTAAATGATGTCGTTTCTGAGCCAGCATGAGGAGTTTTCCCGTCTTGTTCTCATAGCACGCAGCATGCATCTCGGAACAGGGAAAAGGGGGCTGTCATCTCCCTGCAGAGGGAAACCCAAAAACCACAGACAAGGCACCGAGCTCCCCTGCCCCTGGGCACGGCAGCCTGTCCTGGGTGGCCTCCCCAGGCCCCCCTTGGCAGGGCAGCACTGCCAGTGCTGGGAGCTGGGGGGCTTGGCCGTGGCGTAGCGTTGAGTGACGAAGGGACGTCGGCGCCAGGCGTGCGGGAGGAGCAGCAGCCCTCGCTCCCCGCTTGAAAGAAAACAGGTTCCCCTTTAAAGACTGTCCATGTGCTGATCCTCTGCATGTGTTCCATGCCTCCTTCCGCTTGGAGAAGTTGTGAGTCCGCTTGTCTGAGTGCGTTTTTATTTTCTTCCTTAATTATTCTTATTATTCTTATTATTATTCTTATTATTTTATTTTTCTTTTCAGTCTCTTTAATTTCCTTATATATTTTCTCACTCCTGTTTTTCATTTATCTTCCTCTCTCCCCTCCCTTTCCCCGTGACTGTATCCCCCTCTTCCTGTCCAGCCCRGCCCCGTTTCCCTCGCCCTCTCTCCTCTCCGTCAGCATGGTGGTGAAGTCCGTTGTGTAGATGAGTTGTGGTGTCCTGTAGAAGGGCCCCCCTTCTCCGGTGTGCTCCCTGCTGTGACCAGCCCCTTCCTCCCTCCCTGCTGGCGGTGCCTTGGCAGCAGCAGCAGCCCTGGGCTGGGGCTGTCACTACAGTGTTTCTCTGGCACCTCTTGTGCTGAAGGATCCCAAGCGTTCCGGGACGGAGGTGGCAGCCAGCGCTGCCTTGGAGCAGAGTGGGAATTCTGACTGGTGGGAGCCTCGTGTAGGAGAGTTGAGCTCTTCATCCGAGGAGGATGAAGGGTTGATGGACATGGTGGGCTCCTTTCAAGTGGATATTCTGCTCTATCCAAGTGGATTCTCTGCTCTATCCAAGTGGATTCTCTGCACTATCCAAGTGGATTCTCTGCTCTATCCAAATGGATGCTTGACCATGCCCAAACTATTTGTGGATGTCAGGACTTGAGTGTCTTGACTCAAGGAGAGGAGGAGATAGGGAATGTGTGTTGAGACCTCCATGAGGTTAAATATATATAAATATATGTATGGTGTCCTTGGATCTCCTGGACCCTTCCTTTATATGGGTTCCCCTTCTGGGTGGAAGGGGATCAGTGATGCTTTTGGGGGTCTTCTCTCATCTATCTTTGCTTTGTACATGGAAGGACATTTGAAGAGGAGCAGCTGAGATGTGTGTTGGGCTGGTGACTTGTCCTCCCTTACTTCCTTTTCCCGTCCTGGGACTCTGAGATGTCCCTCAGTACCTTTGTGGCCTCTCCARTACTCCCAGTCCATGCAATCCACACTTTTGCTCCTGCAGAAGGGTTTTCCTTTGAAGACTTGAGGAAAACTGCTGTTCCAGGTGTTTGTGGTGCCTCACAGAAGGCTTGTGCCAGGAGTTCACGTGGGCTGCTCAAAGCTCCTTTGCTTGGCTCTGCACTGAAGTTTCCAGAAGTTCACCCGCCTCCCTGAGTGTCTCGTCTGTTGGTATTCAAGATCTCCCTCGTGCGTGGGCAGCTGCCCAAAATGTGAACTCTKGGGGCAGGAAGAGGCTTTTGGCTGAGCTTAAAATGAAAACTAATTTGGAAGAATCGCAGCCCTTTGAGGAGATAAAGGGTGGGTAGAGCTGATGAAATTTGGCTGCTGAGCAGCATCATTCTGTCCTCTGTATCTCTTCCTTGCCAGAGGTCAGACAGTATTTATGGTGACACATGGGTTCAGYGCACTCACTGTTTATGTTTGTGCGTATAAATACGGGTCCAATTACGGAGAACTAGTGGAAATGAGCTTCAGGCAATTTCCTCATAATCCCTCGTGTAAATCTGTCTAATTTTGTCAGCATGCCACAGTAGCTTCTTCTCCGAGAGGAAAAAGAGTGGAAAGAGCAAGAGACTTCTACAAGCTGAGCTTTAATAATAGAGGCAAAGCTGTCTGGRTGGTGGAAGGCTGGTGCTGCTGGGCAGGGTGGTGGCAGGAGCGCCCAGCTTGGTGGTGTCCAGGGCTTGGCACGCATGAGTTCTGTGGGTGATGGAGCTGGAGCAGCTGAAGACCCCATTAGCCAARTGCCTGCAGGATGTGCACCCCCAGGATGGTGGCTATAAATGGGAAAAGGCTGTTTTTGGCCATTCCAGCAGGATTTGCTGCAGGGAACGCCGTGCTGTGACCCGTGGATCATTATGGTCACACCTTCAGCCGGCCTGGACGTGGCTGGCTGTGCTGGTTCAGCTCAGAGGGCAGAGCTGCTGCTGGCAGTGCCTCTTGAGAGAGGCTGGTTGTGCCTGGGGAGGTGTTTGAGCTCTGCAAATGTAAACGTCGCCTTCCTGACGAGGAGAAGCTTGGATCCWGCCAGCGGGACTCGTGGCATGTCTAATGAGCTGCTTCATCTTGGGCTGATGTGATGCTCTGCTGGGAGCTGCAACAGAGGCTCTCYGGGAGCTGGAACAGAGGCTTTCCAGGAGCTCTCCGCACCTTGACGTCTCTGTTGCRTTGGGAAAACACGAAAAGGAGCTTTTCTGTGCCCAATGTTTGGGTTTCTGTTGCGTCTGCTGCGCCTCAGCTGCTTCTTCACCTCTCGCTGCACTTCCCTGGGTGCTCTCCAATGCTGCCAGAACTGAGAAGCTTCACAATCACACACATCTTCGAAAAAACCCAAAAACCCTTCTGCTCCCYGAGGGGAAAAAACTCCTGGGAGCTCCTTGGCTGTGCGCTCCAGCTGAAATTCCACGCTCCAGAGACGCTTGGGATGCCGGATGGGAAGCGCTGCTGTCGTGCTGTCTGTGCAGTGATGACACACGTGGGGACCCTTGGGGGAAAGCCTGCAGGGTGTCCTCAGTGCCAGCCAGGCTGTGCCTGGGCCCCAGCGGGGATGAGGAGCTCCAAACTCCCCGTGGGTGGATGTACTATGGTACCACAGCCCGGGAGTGCRGGGTCTGTGCTCCAGCCTGTGTTCTCACCCCTTCCCTGCTGCATCCATGGTGTTTTTGCCACGCTGGATGGGACACACCTTGCCAACAGTTGGGGTTCTGTGCCAAAGCAGGAGTCTGAAGGCACTGATGTTGCCTCTTGGAGCCAGCTGGGGTGATTCCTCCACCTGCCCTCCTGCTGCYTGTGGTTTGTGGGGTTTGCTAATCCCTGCCCTGGTCACGGATGRATGCCATCAGCACTGCCCTCTGCGTGGCTCTTGTGACAAAGTTCAGTTGCTGACCTCTGGTGACCAAGTTGTGRGAGCCGAAGAGAGTCAAGAATGCAGGCAGGCTGGTTTAACTCTCCTTTCCTCGCTGGAGCCTGGCTCAGAGTGTTGGCTGTATCCCAACAAAAGGTGCTTTGTGGAGGCTTCCCATAATCTCTGGACACCTTGTSTGCAGGTGGCTTGGGTTTATCACCTGAGGCCTCAGGCTTCTTCTGTGGCATTAGGWGCTGGTGACTCTTGGAGGGTCCTGGAAGTAAAATGGAGAGGGGGAAGGAGGTGGGAGAGCAGCAAGAAGGGGGGATGCTGTGATGGGTTATAGGTAAGAGCTGGACTGCCCGCTCTGCTCAGGAAAAGGTTTTCCTCTAATGCTCTGCTCAGGAAAAGGTTTTCCTCTAATGCTCTGCTCAGGAAAAAGTTTTCCGCTAATGCTCTGCTCTCTACAGCAGTCATGCTTTCCAGGCCTTGGATGGGAAAAACAGGTACAGTGAAGGAAATAAAACAAAAAAACCTCTTTGCAAAGGGGAGGATACTGCACCTTGAGCTGGTTCCTGTAGAAGAGTGCCTCAGGGGGTACAGCTGAAAAACTATGCCTTGCACCTGCTGGCTCTCCTGCAGGAAGCACCCCTTTGCAAATGCCCTCCTTGTCCTCGCAATGAAACCTTGTCAGTGTTTCCATTTCCAGCTCCCAGCCTCTCGCTGTTCCAGGAGCAGACGCTCCCGTGCTGTCGCGTTTCTGTTGTCGCTTCTCACAGGGACCTGGGAACGAGGTACCTCTCCCAGCTCTGTTGGTGTGTGCCCTTGGTGTCCCTGTGTGTCGTGTGGCCCCTGGTTTTTCTGGCTGTGGGAGCAGGGCCGGCAGGATCCTGCCTCCCTGCTGTTCGTGGCGCCGGTGTTGTCCGCCCCGGGTGGCTCGTGGTGCCCGTCTCGATGCTGCCGTGCCGCTTCTGCCTGTCTCTYTCTCTCTCTCTCCATCCCAAGGGGTTTCCTACCACTTCCCAGAAAAGCCTTATCGGACATAGGATCTGCCCCGTCCTGTTTTGTTTAGCAGTGTTGGCATGGCAGGCAGGTGAGCTGGGGGTGCCCGCGTTGGACGTGGCCGGTGCCCCCGGCTGGGTTGCGGTGCCGCTCGGAAACCTGGAGGAGACGYAGGGGGACGGCCGGGACGCCTCCCTTCCTCCATCCCGCGCTCTGGCACGCCTGGCTGGCCCTGCTCCCTCGGCCCCGGGTTTCTCACCTCTTCCTTTTCCACGGCAGAGCYGGCTGGGATCGGCCGATCCCCCACCGGGGATGTCCAGCAGCCCGAGCGTGGCYGGGAGCCGCTGACGGCGCGTGTCTGCTTTTCCTTCCTAGAAAACGTCCATCTCCGCCCGGGGACGCTGCTGCACCTGAGAGGCTCGAAGCTCTGAAATACCAGCGGATAAAGAAGCCCAAAAAGTCATCCACAGGCTCCTCGAAATCCAGAAAACAACCCAGTGAGTGCGAGGACCCCGCGGTCCCCAACAGCGTTCCCTGTGTCCTGCTGTGAGCAGAGCTCGGGCAGGTCCCTGCTGGCTCCAGTGCTGGGGTTTCCAAGCCTGTTCCTGGATGCTGCCCTTGTTCCCTGCTTCCCAAAGGGTTCCTCCCTGTGCTGCTTGCCTGCAGGTTATCCCTCCCTTGCTCCTCCAAAGCGAGTCCTTTCCATGCTTCTCCTATCTCTAGCAATTTGTTTGGATTTTGAGTGCTAATTTCATTTTTCCCTGATGCCCGACGCTTCCCGTTCTTGCCACGTGGCGGGTTCAGGGCCGGGCTTGCTGTCAGCTCCCATTTACAGCCAGCAAAGCGCTCTGCTCTGCCTGCTGCTGGCTCGGRTCCCATCTGCCTTCTCTCCCCCCTTCCCAGACGGCTCTGCCTCCCAGGTTCAGCACCCTCCCAGCTCTCAGGTACTGTGGCCTGACGAAGCTGTCTGCCTCCGCAAGAAGAAGAGACACCCTCGTCAGGACCCCTTCGCCCGGCTCTCCGCGCTCAAGGACGACCTCTGCCACCGGCAGCTCCCTGAAGACCAGACAGCCATTCTCAACAGCGTGGACCACGATGACACCAGCGGGCACGCCACCCTGCTCTAGCCTAGCGCCGGTCCYGGGAGGTTGAACGGGAGCGGTGGAGGGAGCTGGTGTCACACCGCGGGGGGACGGAGGTGACGGGAAGGAGGGGGGGACACCCCCCTATGCTGGCTCCTCTCCGAGGGCTTTGGCAGCTCACGGCGGGGATGAGCTGGGGGGGCCCAGGGGATGCTTTGGGGAGGAGGCTTCGGGCTGGGTGTTCCTCAAATCCACTTCTCCCCTACCCCAAACAGCTTGAGTGGGGTGGGAAGGGAGGGGTGTTGCACCTTGGTTTGGGAAAAGATCTCTAAGGCTTCAAAGGCATGGATGAGCTTTTGACATCTGCGTTCGCAGCGYGCGTTTAGGGGAAAGTGTGGGATTGAGCAGCTGGCCCTCAATCGCCGGAAGGAATTGAATGACACAGGGTGTAATTAAGTGACAAGAACCTGACAACCCAGGCGGGAACTGGTAATCCCCTGAATCTGATTATGATCAAAACATGACCAAATAATCCCAGGAAAGCTGTAATTGTGAGAATCTCCCCGCCTCCCCCTCCCCAGCCTCCTTTGATGTGAAGGTAAAAGCAGCAAAACCATCCGTGACACCTTTCCTTACCTATCTCTGAAAGGGAAAAAAACAGCCAGAAAGACCCCGAGCCTCGGAATCAATGTGAGAAATCACCGTTTGTCAGTTTGGGAATGCTTTGGGGGCCTCGGTGCCGTGCGAGCGTGCAGGTACGGGGCTGACRCGATCCGAGGGCGTTTCCCCCTCCGGGTGTGGCGTGCGCCAGCTTTGATGATGATGAGGGCGGGTTTGTTTAATCCCACCCGACGCTCTGTATCACAGRCAAGCGTTCCTGGGTGCCGCGGGGTGATGTTATTTCTCACTGTGTGATGTTCAATCTCTACTGATAACGGCAGCGCGGGGAGGTGCAGGTGTGTGAACGAAGGGGCTTTGGCTGCGCKGTCCCCACGGCCTCCATCGGCAGGTGCTGAGCCCTGGAGAGCAGCTGGAAGTGCCCAGCTCTGCGGATGGACGTGGAYGGCTCCTCGGAGCGGCCGTGCAAAGCTAAGCCCAGCGTTTCGCGCCAGTGTGAAATACGTTGCTGCYGGTTTCACCGTTTTCCCCCTTTTTCTTCCTTCTCCAGCCCGGCTGTGTCGGCTCTGACACCCACCGGGGCTGTGTCACTCCCTTTGCCCCCTGTTTTCCTCAGTAATGCTGTTCTAACTCTTCACCAGAATGTATTTCCTCTTCAGAGTAGGGTAGGTTTGGTGKCTGGTGGTTTTCTGGATTGCATAGGCCTTTTTTTTGGTTTGTTTTTAGCGGGCAAGGTGTAACCCGAGAACAGCCGGGCTCACTTTCCTGCTCTGCCTCCACTCTCTGACTGCGTGGCCTTGGGCAAGTCACTTGACCTCTCTGTGCCTCAGTTCTCCCATCTGTAAAATGGGGATAAGTCATATTTGAGCACTTTGGACAAGCACTTGGTGGCCTACAGACTGCAAGTGCTATGTGAATGCTTAGTGCTAATACCAAGCAATCCCTACCTTTAAAATATTTAGGGTTGGTTTTTTGGTTTTGGTTCTTTTTTTTTTTTTAAGTTTGAAGTGGTAAAATCAACCACTGCATCCAGGTTTGCACAGTTCTTCCTCTGCGGTAAAGTGCTAAACCCTTCAGCCTGCCTGGGAATAAAACACCGAGTGTTTCATGTAGATATTCTTGCTTTGAATGGATCCAGGCTGTAAAAAATGTGTCAGGAGAGCTGGAGAGCCTGCAGGCATGTTTTTAGCCCCAGGCTCTCTGTTTGCATATGAAACTTTTGTTTATTCCCAGGTAGAATTGCCAAGAGATTCTCTGCAATCTCGCCTTTAATTCTGCTTTGCCTTGGTTTTTGCTCTTGCTGCTGGTTGAACCTCCAAGGGCTGAGATGTTTGGAGAAAGACGTGAGCTCTCGGTTGTGATCCGGCTCTCCGACCCCGCCACGCTCCCCGGGGAGCCTTTAGGTCTGAGCCTGTTTATCGCTCTGCCTCAAAATACCTGTTTTTTTTAGAGGTTTGTGCTTCCTCTCCCAGCAGGATGCTCGGGAACCCACGACCACCAAAAGCAGAGCACCGTGTCTTTTCCAATCTCCAGGCCCTAAGTAAGGTTTGAACCACTGGACAATGAATCCTCTAAATCGATAATGGGATTTTTCTGAGCTTTAACAACTTCGTGTAGGTGGTCTCAAACCATCAGCAGGTTTGTCTCGGGAAGGAGGGAGGGTCTGGCAGAAATGCCCCTCTCTTTCCARCCTGCACCAGGGCTTTTTATTGACGTGACGAGTGACCTGACGTAAGAACCTCAACTCTCAGAGTGAGAACTCAACCTTGCTAACAGTATGACTGCGAATTTCTTTTGTTTGAGTGTGTTTTTAGGGTCTTTCCCCTAGAACCTGCTCAGATCTGAATTGATTTAATGCCATTCTCCCGCTCGGCAGCGGGGAAAACTCTGCCTGGCTCGGCCAACTTCAGCTCGCCGGTCACTCCAGCCGGGCTGCTCCTGACGGACAGGTGACCCTCGGAGCTGGGGAGGAGTGAAGGCTCTGTGCTGCCTGTGCCGTGGCCAACTTGCTCTTCCTTTCACTCTCGTTGCCTCGACCTCTCCRACAGAGGGTTGCTTTTCCATTCGAGTGCTTTCCTAACGATTTACGACACCCATTCAGATGGGCCAGGCGCTGTCTTCAGGCTCTTGAGGTTGCTACCTCGGGACTGTGCCCCATCCCATCTCAAGGAGCTCTAGAGGACTTGGAGTGCAGGGAAGGTTGACGGAGCATGCCAGCTTGCTGGGTCAGTCTTTTGAGAGTTGTTTTCCTTTTGCAGGTGTTTTGAGCCACTGGGCTTTTCATGGTCTTCGACCTTTAGAGGCTGGAGCTGCAGCCCTCTCTCTTTCAGCCGTGTACCTGCCACGCTGCTGGAGTGGGAAATCCCGCCCGGGCGCCTCGTGGAAGCAGCTCTTCCCTAAAAAAACATCCTTAACTCCTTTCCCTGCTAGACCGAGTTACCTTCYGATAGACTCGGGCCATGCTTTGGCTGACTGGCTCGCCTCTTGCTTTGGCAACCTCCTCGCTTCTCCCAGCCCTCTGGTTTCCATGCCCTTCAGGGTCGCTCCTCTCTCCTCTCATGGACCTGGAACATCGAAGCCGTGCCAGACGATGCCAAACGCTTCCCCCATTTCACCCCCGTTTGAACTCCTCCGTGTCGCTTTGGTGGTTTGCAAACACAGCTGCTGCTGCTGCTGCTGCTGCTGCTTCTTCATTTTTTTATTATTTTTTTTTTTATTTCTTTCTTTCATGCTGCAAAATATATCTTGATTTTTATCTTCCTGGGCCAAACTCTCTTATTTTCTAAGCTGGTCTGACGTAGACGGCTCTTTCTGAATCAGTGACCGTACGATTCCTCCTCGCACGTTGCGAACGCGATGTTCCGTTAGGTCCCTTAGCAAATCCTGGCCCWCGGTGAAAAAATTCCTCTGAATCACAAGGATATTTGTCCCTGGGCTCACTGAGGCATCAGTGCTGGGGTGCCAGCCCAGTTTTGGGGGGTCCTTGCTGGTGTTTCTCCCTGTGAGGTGGCCACAGTGGGGATGCTCTGATTTCATGCCGCCGTGGGGGTTGCAGGATTTGGGCATCCCGAGCTGGGGGCGGTGACACAGAGAGGTAGGTGCAGGGTGTCACTGAGATCCTGTGGAAAGGGGGTGGTCCTGGGCTGCTGCAGCTCTCTGACAAACCCCATTGTGTCCTGGAGCAGCCAGGGAAAAAGGACAGGAAAAGTACTGTGCCTGCTTTTCCAGCAGGACATGCTGAGCTCTCATCCTCTAAGGTGTTTCTAAGGTGACTTTGCCCTGCAGCCCCGCCGGCGTTTTGGTTCTGTAGTGTTGACATGAAGGAAAATGCAAGTTAGTGTGAGGTGGAGGGAAAGAGGGAATGGCTCCCTTGTGGGGCCCTGCACTGGCAGCACTCTCAGGCACTGGCAGTGATGGATTTGTGGGATGGGGGAAGCTGGAACGTTCCCAGTGTGATCCTCATCATGGTTTGCAGTCTACCCCCCAAGCTGAGGGATCTCTGTGAGCACCCGGGTGTGAGCAGGTGATGTTTTTCCCAGSAGGATTCCCCCTCCTGCTGCCCTGTGCAGGTCACCAGTGACTTGGCAGCTGATTTGGGGCACTGGTGGGCTCCAGGCTGCTGATCTGGTGTTTGTCACCTTGGCAGCTGGCTCGGTGCCACCCGCTTTGGAGGAAGGCTGGAGGTGGTGCTGTTTGGAGACGTAAATGGAAAGGGAATTTAAAGGGAATGTAAAGGGAATATAAAGGGAATAACAGTTTGCTGCACCTTCCTCAGGGAGTGTTGAGGACACTGGATTCGGGCTCAGCAGCCCGGGCACGGTCCTGGCAGAGCTTAGTCATGCCTGGTGGCATCCAGATGTGTCACAAATTCCAGGCTTATTGCTGCTCCCWCTTTGCAGTCTGCATTAGGACAAAATCCGCCTGGCATTTTGGTTTCTCTTCCTGCTTCAAGCAGTGACGTAGATTTGGGCATTCTTGGAGTTTTGGGTTGCTTTCAGCTGTAGCTGTTGTCTGGAGGTATTTTTCCATGAGGCTGGACCTTCAGGGATTTCCACACGTCCCACATGGGCTCGCTGCAGCCCCAGGCTGGAGTCAGTGCTTTTTTGGAAGGAAATCTTCTCAAGGAACCGGARTAAAACCCACTGTACATATGAGATATAAATAGATAGAGAAGYGTAGGACAAAGGTAGATAGGTTTGCAGAATTCAGTAGATTTGCATGTCGGGGTATGTGTGTCTCTAGGGGAGAGTTTAGAGCCGTGCTGGAGCGGGGGATCAGGTTGGGCAAAGCGGGGAAGGGACTGGGAGCCTGCGGGGAAGGGACTGGGAGCCTGAGGGGAATTCGGGGATGGATTCTGCACACGACAGATCGCTCTGTTCTGTTATTTCATCCCCACTTTTGAGTTTTGCTGTGCCCATTGTCTCTGCCTCTCCTCGGGGCCGTGACACAGGTCCTGTGCTCTGTGTGTCCATGGCACGTGGGCTGTGACACGGGACACGGCGTGGCAGGGGGATGTCACGTTGCCTCATCTCTGGTGCCGTCGCTCAAAGAAAAAGCTGCACCACGCAGAAACCCTTCCCTCCAGTCCCTCTAGATGCTGCTCTCTGGTTACTCATGTGAAAGCATTTTGCTCTGCGTCTGTTCCTCCCAGCAAAGCGTGAGTCAGAAGGGATGAGAGAGGGACACGGCTAAATTTGTCCCCCGAGCTGAGGAACGCGGCACCGGCTGTGCCAGCCGGCCCCGGCAGCGCCTCCTGGGAGGGACGAGATGTTCTTGACTGTGTCTTTTTATTTTAGACCTCGCTTAAAGCAGGACTTTGAGGATCTGAGGCAGAGAGGGGATTTGGTCWGCAGTGATGCCAGAGCTGGTGCTGGCCCAGGCAGGGGGGCAGCTGGATTCAGGCTGGATTCCCTCTGCTCTCCCAGAGCCACCCCTGTGCTGTCTGGGCACGAGGTAAACCTTAAAGGAAACAGGATATTTAGTCCCATTTCCCCCCTTCAGCTCAACTCTGATTTTTTTTCTCTGTTTCTGAGTATCTTGACTCCTCTCTGCTGGTGTTTCCTGGGAAGGAGAGGTGGGAGTTGTTCCTGTTGAAGGTCTGTCAGGGAATGCTTGATCCACGAACTGAGGGCTGGGAAGCAGATTTGGCAACGCTGGTGCCAGCAAAAGAAGAAACTTAACACTGCACCAAATTCCCATCAGCTGGCACATCCCCAGGCAGGGAGGACTGGTGTGGTTGTGGGAAGGGGCTGGAGGTGGGAGCCTGTTCCACTGACTGGGATGAGAGGGAGCCGTGTTTGCCCATTTTCCCCGTTTTTAGGTGTTTTGGCACAGCTTCCCTTGGCATTGTGTGGCAGCAGGACGAGCATCCCCAATCGCAGGGCTCTGGCTGACTTTTGATACGTGCATGGATGGATGAAGGACCTGGGGAGGGGGAGGGCAGAGCCAGGGCGGGCAGAGGGGCTGCTCCGGGCTCGGGGTGGGGTGGATGTGGCAAGCATGCGCTGTAGGGGTAGCTAAGGATTTTTATACTGGTTGCAGTGGGGTGGGAAACRCAGGATGGAGGGGCTGGCATCCCCCAGGGAGGAGAGTTTGCCCAGAGTTTGGATTTACCGTCAAAATGACACTTTTTTTCCCAGGAGGGCTTTTATTCTTGTTCTCCTGAGGTTGCAGGGCTGCAAAAGAGGGTGCCCACCTTCCCAGGACAAGCCARTCCTGCGATCTGAAAGCTCCTCGGATTTCCACCCACTCCCCCCCCAGCACTTAGATTAAAATAAAACACAAAAAAAAAAAAACCAACTCGAGAAATGAGCCCCAGTATCTCTATCTAAAGACATGATATTGGTGTACGGAAACCGCATTGTACATAAAATTAAACAAATATATATTTACTTTCTATTTTAGAAGGGGGGGAGAATAACTATTTAAAATAATTCCTTAGTGATAGGTGTCAGAAACTTCTGTGCAGCATGAGAGAAGGCTGTCAGAGGTGGGGAGAGTCCCAACAGCRGGAGCAGAGCGAGTATTTTTACATTATATTGCGCTTCAGCTTCTCTGCTTCTCCATCCACCTATAAATAGGCAAAAATATATATACAAATATATATATATATATATAAATTATATATATCTAAGTCACATAGCTGTTTTATTTTTGTATCCATGCCTAGTGCTGTTTGAGCAATACGGTGGCGAGGGAGAGGAGGGCTGGGTCAGGCTGGGGGCTCRCWGTGCTCCGGGGGATCCGCCCGCTCSGGGCCCAGCCTCACCRCTGTTTGCTGTTTCARTAGGGAAAAACACTAAAAAGGGAAAAAAAATCCCAGGATGGGGGAGCCTGGGCCTGCTGCCAGCTTGCCCAGGGCYGTGGCGAGGTGGTGTTTGCACTGAGGGCTGTCTCGGGGATTTTTTTTTCCAGAGAAAAAAAGACAAATTTCAGCTCCGAGGGTGCTCGGGGAGGATGAGGCGGCTGCAGCCGGGGGGTGGCACAGGATGGGGACATGCTGTGGGGACAGGGTCCCCTGGGTGCTGTTGGTCAGCTGTTCTTGCTGCCCTCGTGAGTGCTGAGGGTTTCTGAAACCCTCCTGCAGTCTGTGGAGCCCCCCAGGGCCCCCCGGGTGGCCACAGTGGGGTTCTCCAGGTCCCCACACCCGGCTGGAGCAGGGAACCTTCTCTGTAGGGAATGTCGGGACCTCTCCAAGAGTGTCCCTGGCCAGCAGGGCTAACTGGTGCTGTGGGGGCTGCTGGTGTCCACTGGGCGGGATGGGGGACTCTCCCTGTCCCCATGGATGGGATTTGGGGCTCTCCCTGTCCCCATGGATGGGATTTGGGGCTCTCCCTGTCCCCATGGATGGGATTTGGGGCTGTCTCTGTCCCCATGGATGAGATGAGGGGCTCTCCCTGTCCCCATGGATGGGATTTGGGGCTCTCCCTGTCCCCATGGATGAGATGAAGGGCTCTCCCTGTCCCCATGGATGAGATGAGGGGCTCTCCCCTGTCCCCATGGATGGGATGTGAAGCTCTCCCTGTCCCCATGGGTGAAGTAGCATCAAGCCCTGCCGTGGTGGGGGATGTGCTGGGGATGTTTGGGGCTTTTCCTGCAGAGCTGTATGGACCCGCCGGACCCCTACCCCCTTCCCTGTGTGCCGTGGGGGAAAGGGGAGCCAGTTTGGGACTGAGCAATGCCAGGGAGCTGCAAACCTTCGCTGGGGCATGGTTTGGGGATTCTTGGGGCAGTGGTGACTGGGGTTTGCTCCCCTCAGGCTGTGTCCCACACTTCTGGGCTCTGGGGGGATCCAGATGCTGTTTTGGGGCTCAGATGTCCCCGAGGGGACAGCGACACAAACCCTGAGTGTTTCCACCCTTCCAGAGGCAGGCAGAGGTCCCTCACCGTGGTCATGCCATGTCCCCATGGGCTGAGGCACGAATGTACCCCCGGGAGCTGGCCCCTCGCAGCGGCACCCTGTCCCCCGTAGGTGTCACCTGTATTTTCCATGATATTTCTCTTTTCTTCGTCGGGTCGGGGTGGGGGCTGGGGGGTGGGATTGTTTCTAATATCAAGCCAAGATTTGTTCAGCACCAATTCTTGATATCGAAGCAAAAGCATGTTTGGTGGGACTAACTTGCATTTATTAGCGGTAAATACATGAGTCTTTTATATGTTAAAAAAAACAAAAAAACAAAAAACCACACACACAAAAAATAAATAAAAAATAGGATGTCAGGAGAAAGAGAAGGGATGAGATTTCTCACCCCTCGGTGTCCGGGC